TGAAATCCAGATATTGTGTAATTCCGGCACCAAACCACAGGAAGGCAAGTTACGACCTGGGCAAGAACCCCTGGCTTATCTGATACTAATTCAATGGTGTCCAGGAGAGCTTTCATCACAAACACAAAGTCTTCCTTGGTGACATGAGAAATGCCTATGCCATGAAGGACTGTGAAGTCGTAGACATCCTTCAGGGCTTTGGTGACGTTCTTGTCCACCACTCTCTGCAGGAGCCTCACAGCGTGAGGGAGGGCATAGTACAGATCCACCACAGCATCCACGTCCTCTCTGGGAAACAGGCGTGACAGCCTCAGCAGATGATTGACATTCCAAGAATGGGAGCTGTCTACAAACTTCTCCATCAAGCCAACAAGCAACTTGACCCCCAAACTGTCAGTACCTGGTCTACTGATATTCTTTATAAAGTCGATTAGGCTTTCACCAACTTGTTCGAGTTGGTCTACCAGAAGGTCTATGTCCATCTTCTTTAGGGTGAGCAGGAAAGAAGCTATCTTCTTTAAAACTTTATTACCTGGATCTTCTGGAATATTGTGATGGGCTGGGGGCATTAGGGAGTTGAACACATCCCTAATCAATTGAATACCAAGACCCACAGCTCTCGTTATTTCATGTGGAATTATTTGGGGTGAATTTTGGAGATCATCTGATAAGTTGAAGACAAGGTAACTTGCTAAATGAAAAAGTGAATTACCTAAACGATGCACATCCTTTCCCTTTGGACTGGCAGTAAACATATTTAAGAACTTTTCAGCTTTAGAAGAAAAGTTATTTTCCAGAATGTTAGGGAAAATATCTTTCACAAGTTCTTGAATTTCTTTCCCCAGATCTACTAAATGCAGCCAAGTATTTTGAAATCGGCTAGGAATTTCTTCTGACATTTCTATAGGTCTTAGAAATAATTCAGTAAAATGTTTCCAGTTGGATTGAGATGCAAATTCAAAGTTTCTTGTTAAGTTGTTGATAAGCATACTTACTTGGTTTGTGGAATTATTTAAAAGAGTTAATAAAATCTCCAATTTTGGTGCCTTTTCTTTTTCAAATACTGCTGTTAGTATAACATTTAGGAAGTCAATTACATTTTTTAAGTAAATAGCCATACAATTTACATTTGACTCATTCAACGAACAACCAGATTCCACTGTATTCAACAGCCAAGTAACAAGTGTCAGTGTAGAGTTAATTTTGTTTTCCACATCACTGAAATGCTTCAAAACACCCTGAAGAGGGCCTTGTGAAAAACTAGGGTTATGGGCCACATACGAATGATTGAAGATGTCCACCCATTCAACGCATCCTTTCAGTCTACTCATGATGTCCTCGGAGGAAAAGAAGGAATTTAACATGGCCAGAATACGTAACGCCCTCTGTGTAGTATTTACATGTAATAAGCCATCTTCCAAAATAAATTCAATGATGTTTTGGAAACTATCAGCACAGGACAATAAAGTATGGTCATGTGACACATTTCTAAGAAATAATATTGTTTCTCTTAGGTCAGTGATGATGCTTTCAGAGTTTACTTCATAATCCGTGAGGTTATTTAAAAGGAAGTGATGGACCAAGTGTGTATGTCTGTCTCTATAGCCTGAGGTATTGCTTACCCCCGTGAACACATTGAGCACAGAATACAAAAACTCCCTGCCTGCTCTTGTGTTGAGCGGAAATGCCTGCAGCTGACTCAGGGCGGTGTCCAGAGTGGAAAGGGATTTCTCCACCTGGTCCGGGTGGAGCAACTTGACTCTAACCAATGCATCACGTACTGCTCCCCAGAGGGCCCTGAGATCCCGAAAATCATCCCGATCATGGAAGCCGCCACCTTGAGTCATGTTTTTCAGCAGGTTTAATATGAGTGTAGCAGGGCGATGAATGGGAAATATTCCCTGGTAGCTTTTAGAAATTTTCACATCACTTTCCAGTTCACCCAAAAGCTGGGTAAGTGCGATATGAAGAGGAGTGAAAGCATTCACATCCAGCTCCAACATCTGAGCTGTGCTTCCCCAGATTTCAGCCCACGTCTGAAGCCACGAAATGAAACAGTGAACAGCCATCCACTCACTGAGCACGCTGCCATCTGCGGAGAGGTTTGAATGAATCTGTGCCCACAGAAGAGTAAGTGGAGGCCCTCCATCTACTGAGTAACTCATAGAAGAAGTGATTTTATTATTCAAAGCAAAGCATTCATTACCCAACAGGGTTCCTACTGAACTGTTGAAGAGCTGGTTCACATACTGAAATAAAGAAATACGAAAATCTTCATCCCCCATGAGCAGCTGTTTGAGGCCGGTCAAAGTAGCGTGGATCACTTCCAACTCTGGGCGCTCTGCAGACAACAGGGACTGGGCTTGAAGCTCCAAAAAGTTGAAAACTGAAAGCAACTGCTGACAATAAGATACTTCAGAAATTCCCCCAAGAAGTTCTGTTGTCTCATATAAAAATGCAAATGCTTTGCTGATATTTTGAAAATTAAATTGCTTCATAATCTCAAAAATGTGCTTCGAGGTTTGAGTCAGGAAAGAGAACAAAGACTCTCCCCTCTGGATGCCCAATAATTTGTCAGTGTATTGGTGAAATGAAGAATAAGCCTGCAGAAGAAAAGCTGAATCTGGGTCCTTAAAGACATTTAGATAGATCTGAGTCAAAATGTTATCAACTTCTTGTCTTTGCGGTTCAGAAAGGGCCGAGAAAAGAGCAGATGCATTCCTCACAGCATAGACAGTGGCCAGAGCCTCCGAGACTTGCTCCTGCCTCAGGAACCCAAGTTCATAGAGACTGTGGATTATAGATTCACTTAGGCGAACAAAATACATTCCCACAGCTGGTGACTCAGGCCAATCCGAGTGAAACAACCTGGAAAAATTAAAGCTTTTACTAAGAATCCTCTCCTTTTCTAGAACAGAAAAATTTGAAAGTGTAGACAAGTTTTCGAATTTAGTTCTCTTTCCTTTGGAAATGCCATACGTCCACAATTCCAGGAGCTTGGGGTTAATTTCAGAAAGTACTGTTTCCATAAATCTCAAAATATAGCTTGATTCCTTCTTTTTAAGAGTGTGCATTTTTTCAATCACCTCTTTGCCAAATTCCAAAAGTTTCTGAGCATCAAAACCAGATGGCTCTCTTCCTAAATTCTTTAAGTGATTTATCCAGGAATGACTTGCATTTAGAAGAGTCTCAGTGGGACCGCTGGATGAGTCAAGAGGGTTAGGCAACAACAATTTCTCCAAAAATTCCACGAAGGACAAAAGAAAGTTCATTTGCTCATCCTCAAGGGCATCCAACTTCTTTTCCTTCATGAGATGTTCTTTTGTGGCATTTAAGACCCTACAATATTAACAGAACTGTATTGGTATCAGAAAAAAAGGAAGATAAATTCAACCTACAAATTTTCAGGATAATAATCAGATTTATTGTTAAAGATAAATGAAATATTTACTAGACAGTGTGTTTTCCCAGTAGATATTATGTGAATGTGAGCATCTGAACCTGTTTAGAATTCCGCAATGCAGCTGCCCGTATTTAGCTAAAAACCTGCTTGCTGCACCGAAAACAGCCCATTTTCCTCCGTATGGCTGTTAGAGACAGGTCTGCTGCTTATTTATGCAGAAGAACCTTAGGGTGCGATTCCTCATCACATCCCAATGTCTTGGCTGCAGGGATTGTCTCCAGGGCAGCGTGAGTCAGACACTGTCCGGTGCTCTGAGGACCAGTGTTGGGTCCCTGTTCTGGAAAGCAATTCCTGTACCTCCCACCAGTACAACCTCATGGGGTACTTTTCCTCTAAGTGTTTATTTTTAAAATACACACCTTTAAAACAAGAGTGCTGCCACAGTAGCAGCTGAGGAGTCAGGACAGGCCCACACTTGTGAACAGAAGTCCTGACTCAGGAGCGACAAGCCCATTTGGGAAGCCCTGGGCCCCATGTGTCTCAGACATCAGGAAGAAAACATGGGGCACCTACCAGATGAGTGACAATGCCCCCTTCACCCACAGGGGCTGGAGCAGCCCCTTCCCAACCCAGTGACACGTCTGTCCACTGAGAAACCCAGGAATGGACTCACACCATGTGTGGAGGGTCAATAGACTCGTTAGATTTCAGAATTGTAGATAAGAGATTTGGCTATTAATGCCTTAAAGGGTGAACCTTTCTCAACTTCTTTAAGTCTAATCCTGCTGTGTGACTTGGGCCCAGGAGACACAGGACGATCAAACACAGGAGTTGAGCGGTGCTGCTAACACCTGGGGTCCCGGAGCAGAGAAAACACGGGCTCAATTGAGCCTGTTGTTTGCAGGACAGAGAGTGGCTACTCTGGCCCACGGGACACGGAAAACATCCCCAATGGAACGAAAAAGCTCCAGCCAGGGACCCACACCTTCATCTGCCCAGCCCTCCAAGAAGCGTCTGCATCGCACGGGGCGCATCATCGGGGCTGACAGCGCTGGGGTCCGTGCGTCACGGGGTGGGAGGAGGCGGCTGTGCATTTGGAGCCCTTGGTATAGAGCCAGTGCCATGAGTGGAATGTGGCCCCACAGTTTTTGTGTCCCTTCACAATTTGTACAGCACAGCCACAGCCACAGCCACAATCCCAGTCATCCCTCCACAGCCTTCTGAGGTACATCATCGTTTTCATCCGTGGGAAAAGAAACATTTCAAAGAGGGCAGGAACGGGACGGCACGTGGCCCCGTGCTCTCCCTCCAGCTCCACTGTCTTCCATTGGTGGCTTCCTGTCCTGCTACCGACCCATTCACCAGCACCATCTGGCCTCTGTCAGGAAGGTGCCGCGCCGGCTGCTACAGCACAAGCACAACCCTGACCGTGCCACGAAGCGCACACGGACGCCGTGGTTGCCGTCTCTCTCGGGCTATTAAACATTTGAGACTTTAGGAGAGTAAGGCAAGGCACTGGTTCTCCTTCCCATCCTCCTCCCACTCCCGGGAGGGAGAGTCCGGCCCAGAGGTGCAGGCGTGCTCCGAACCAACTGTCGACCCCGTTCACCTACAGAAACCTGGGCCCTGCACACGGCGAGTCAGCGTTTCCGCGGCAGGTCCAGACTTGCACATGACGGCAGACTTCACAGAGGGGTTTGATCCACTCCCAGTTTGTGAGCCCTGCTCTGATGCCACGCTCCGTCCCACCACGCCCCTCACACCCCACCAGGACAAAAGCATGGCAACTTCAGGAGGGTGGAACATCAGGTCTAGGAAAGGCCACAGTGGTTCCTTGATTCTGTTGGAAACCTAACAAAAGAGGACTCGGAATCCTTCTGACTCGACTTCCCCTCTGGCCGAGATGAAGGACAGACAGATGGAAACAGGTAAGCTGGGGGCGACTTGGACCGAACAAGAAACATACTTAACCTAATTAACATGCATAAACCCCTGTACCCGACAGCAAAAGTCACGTTCTTTGGAAGAGCACATATATTTACCAAAATCAATTGTGTGACCATAAAGTTCATCTCACCAAATGCAGAGTCTACAACATCCAGAATAAGTCCTCTCACTAAAACGAAACTAGAAATCAATCTTGAAAAGGAACTTGGAAAGCCCCCACATGTCCGTGGAAATTAAGCGATCTGCTTCTAAATAACTGAGTCAGAAGAACGCACAATAAACATGAGGAGATTTTGAATTGGAACTATTAGAAATTGATGACAGAACCCTGCTCATCCAACTGTGTGGAATGTACCAGAGCTCTGTGAGGAGAGGGGGTGGCCCTAGCATCTGTTACAAAGAAAGAAAACCTGAAAACCAAGAAGCTGGAAAAAGATCAAACTAAATTTAGTAGGAAGGGCTAATAAAGATAAAGGAGAAATTCATTAAAGAGGAAACAAATGTTATTGTTCATCTTTAAACAGACGTCAACGACGTAAAACCTAACATCCAAAACGCTGGCCCTTCTCAAACACCCTGCCCACCAGGTGGCCTCCTTGCACAGGCTCACTAGACTGGGATTCAGGATCCAGCAGTTTTAAGAATTCGTTTCTAACAGTTTCACTCTTTAACCCTCAGTGTGCTCTGGGCTAAGAAACCCTGAAACGGGAAGTGTGTCTTACGCGTTTGGCGGAGCGTTGCTGCCGGGGCCTTCCGTTGTCGCGCTGCCCATCAGCAGGAGCAGCCCAGCCTGCAAAGCGTCCGCCACCTCTTGCAGGGAGCGGTCTCGCTCCAGCAGGCTCCTGAGCGCCGCCAGGCCTCGGCCGCCCTCCCGCCACCGATGGAGCACCTGCGGTCAGAAACAGGGGCGACTGCAACAACAGTGACTGAGGGGCAACAGCGTCTGGTCAAGAGACAGCCACAGGCCATCGAGGTAACAGCCGGCCCATTTTACAAGGTCGGGAGACTGAAAGGATTGGCCACAGCTGCATTGTGGCTGAATGTGTCGGACATTAAAGACTACAAACTGCAACAATGGATGGGTGCGACACTTTCATCGGCCCCATTTCTCCTTCCTCCCCGCTCCCATTCCCAGAAGAGAAAGCAGTAGGTACATTTCTAAACAAGTGAGTCATGCCCCCAAACTAAGCGGACGTGTCTGAGACGGTATAAATACAGTCGTCTTTAAAATGAGGTCATAATTAACACCCAGTCACAAAGGCCCCTGGACGTCACAGACTTGGGGATGATGAAGCTCACGGCAGTCAGTACGGTGGCTCCACACGACATCCAAACAGATCGTTCACACGCAGTCATGGAAGGCAGGGAGCATGTGACAAGGCTCTGTTGGGGGAAGGGGGCACCCTGACAACCCAGCAGTCAGGGACCCGGATAACGGCTGAGCAAGGCGTCCACCTGACCACGCTGACGCTGGGCAGGTGGCTCTGTCCCCTGATCACTTTACTGCCAGACAAACTTAGTGCCACCCAGTGGTCAATCCCCTCTGCAGCTTTAAAATGTCGTCTCTCTGTTACTGACACACATCAGGAAGGGAAGCTGAAGATGTGTGTCCTTGGAGGAAGGTGTTGGTGGGGGCTGTGATGGTCCTTGCAGCTGCCGTGCACATGAAGCCCAACACAGACTTCCCGGGGACATCTGGGCTGAGGGCAGCGAGCCCAGGCCGTGGGGCGCAGGGAGGAGGGCACAGGAGGCCAGGACGTAGGGCCCGGGCCTTTCCTGGAAGCACACAAGGGACAGTGAAGAGGTGGGGGTGTGAACGGACAGGGGGAATAACTGTAGACCTGCTGCCCGGTGCTGCGCCTGCAGTCAGTACTGCTCGGGGGCAGCGCTCTGTGAAGCGTTCCCCCCACAACAAACTCAAACACCAACCAGAGGAAGATGTGGGAGGAGCGGGTGGAGGTGACGCACTTCAACCCTCACACGCACACGGGGCTTCGATGGGCACAGCACCTGTTTGTAGACCTGCGGCCAGCTGACCGCGTGGACCAGGTAGGCTTTGGCTGCTGACCAGCTGGCGTGACAGTCTCCAGGGGGACCCTCCCCGTCAGCTTTGTCCTTGGAGGCTCGGGACAAGGCTGAGCACACCATCCGCTCCAACCAACGGTCTGAGGGAATCTGGCAACGACATGAGCACCACTTAGAAGTCAAGCTTTCTTTTTCTACAATGTTTCTCTTCTAAAAATATCACCGCAATCTCGCTAAAGGAAAGGCTGACATTGGCTTGACGGAGGAAGTAACAGGTTGATAAAGTGTCGCTTAAAATGTCCTTGCGCCGCCCAGCCTGCCCACGCGATTGATTCCCAGTCTCTCAAGGAGAAAGCCAAGCGCGAGAGGAGCCGGAAGCGTGCGCACCTCGTCCAGTTCAGCCGAGTAATTCAGGATTTGCTCCGCGTGGAGGTCATCAAATCCAAACCGGGCCTGCAGGTCCGCCTGCACCTCCTCGGGGGCCCGCAGCAGGCCGCGCAGGGACAGGCCGCGCCCCGGCTCTGCAAGGCAGCAGGGGGGACAGGTCACTTCCTCACACTGTGGCAGGTGCTGTCACCACTGTTCAGAGAACAGCGCCTTCACTTTCAGAGGGAAAGCAAAGGGCGACCCAATGCTATTGGGTCAGTCAAGTAGGAGAAGCAAACCCAGGCTGGCCCTGGTGCGGCCGCGTGGGGAGGGCGCCTGCTCCCGGCGGGAATGACTGCGGATCTCTAAGGTTCTGTGCATCATCCAAGTTACAACGATCACAGAATTCGGGAAAGAAAGGGAAACAGTCACATCAGCCCAGGAGCGGGTGTGACACTGTCCGATCGGTCTAAAATCAGGACAACTGGGGTTCTGGACGCCGGGGCTAATGACAGCGCAGAGCACGCGGACGAACAATCCCCAACAGAGCACGCCGGCCCAGAGCCGGGGCCACTGACGGCCTCCCCTCCCCTCGCGCGCCGTCCTCTGCGCGTCTTTGGAGACACAATTAATGAAGACAATCTGTAGCTGCCTCCAGAAGCTGTTCTGTGATCGTTCTTAGCTCTCCCTCACTGAAAGTTAATAGCACATCACTAATTTTAATTACATTCTTGACTGTAATTATATTTCCAATTGTAAGGTAAGTGGATCGTGTAATTTGGATGGCGCACAGAACCTGAGCTTCCTAATGACAACGCATTTGTTAACGGAGGTGGCGGAAGGGTTCAGCGAGGGGGTCTGTGTGTCCCCCACTCCGCTGGGCTCTGTGCTGAGCGTTAAGAACCCGTGGCTCCTGCTGCGATGAGCCCACGGGAGAGCAAGGTAAACACTGGCGGCCTGGCTTCCCTCCAGCAGGGCCAGCGGGCACCCTTCCTGTCTACGGGTCCTCCCTCCACTGAGCCACTGGCAGCGGGAAGAACCGGGGGCCTGGGTTTGGAGGGGGTCGTGCGAGGCGGCTCCATGGGCGGGACATTGGGAAGGAACACAGAAGTCTCCGTGTAAGTTCTCCCTGTGCAGGTCAGAGGCGCCAATTCCCAGTCTACTGCTGCCTTTTCTTAAAGAAACAGCTGTTCTTGTTGCCTTTATATTTTAAGTGATTTGAACAGCACTTGAGCTCCGTGGGTTGTCAATAAATTTAACAAGTGAACCACTTGAAATACCAGAACCGCTTAGGTACCCACCCGCACCTGTGGCTGCCACTCCATGGTCCTGCAGGAACGTCAGCGCAGAAATGGTCGCCTTCAGCAGCATTTTGGAAGCTCTGGAGGTAGCAGGGTTGAGTGGCAGCCAATCTAGATCTTCCAGAGACGCGAAGGAACTGGAACCAAACAAAAGCGAAGCAGCCTGAGCTGGTTGCTGGCGCAGGGCACGGACTCCACTCTTCCGCCCCAGCCTCTGTGCCAGCCCCTGCAGCTGTGCCGGGCCAGCCACACGCAGCACCCGTGGTGGCTGTCAATGTGGCCGCAACGCCCTGGCCTCGGGACTCCACATAACAGCCCAGTCCCTCTCGTGAACACTTGGCACCCGGCCCACCTCCCTCTCTGCCTGGGACAGAACCCGAGTCGCTGACACCTTCCAGCGCTCAGCAGGGCAGCCAGGGTGCGAAGCGCTGTCATCGCAGAAGGCAGGTGAGCATCAGCCTGGCCTCTGCCAGGGCAGGTGCTCAGATCACGTCTGGAGGGCACCCCCTGGGACGCCGTCTTAACCTCCGGATCTGAGCGGTCAGCGATCGTGTTTATCAAACCGCTCACACACACCGGCCTCAGGGAGTCCACATGCTTGTAGTGTTAACGTTGTTTTTATATATCAATATTTTATTCCATAACTAATTATGGTTGAACATGTAAATTTGAAACTCAACTAACACGGGAACATATCTGAATTTTAGCAACGTGAGACCAAAAAGATGTAAGTTGTGCTCCAGAGAGGTTCTTCCCTGCAGCTTCTTGTGAGGAAGATCTCGCGTGGCATCCTGCACACCGCGGGGCCCAGGTTACAGGAGATGCCACTGAAAACCGGTCGTGCCGGGGAAGCACTCCAGGTGTGCAAATGTGTAAGTGACAAGTCAAACCAACAACTGTCAAAATATGTTCCTTCTTCCTACGCTGACAAATACACCTTCAGAACAACTTGGGAAGCCATGCTCAAATTAGTTAAACTTATATACGTGTCATATCTCTAACAGTGAAAAACTCAGAAATAACCAAACATCCAAGTACATATGGTAGGTGGCATGGTACCAAAAGGAAATGTTACACAGGCATAAAAATGTTCACTTGAGCCCTGACTGGTTTGGCTCAGTGGATAGAGCGTCGGCCTGCGGACACAAGGGCCCCAGGTTCAATTCCAGTCAAGGGCATGTACCTTGGTTGCGGGCACATCCCCAGTAGGGGGTGTGCAGGAGGCAGCTGATCGATGTTTCTCTCTCATCAATGTTTCCAACTCTCTATCCCCCTCCCTTCCTCTCTGTAAAAAATCAATAAAATATATTAAAAAAAAAAAAGCTGGCAGTCGGACCCCCACACCGTGCACGAATTTTATGCACCAGGCCTCTAAAACATGGCCCGACTATATGCTGTCCACAAGAGACTAACCTCAGAACAAAAGACTCACATAAGATGAGAGTGAAGGGATGGCAAAAAATTTTCCATGCAAATGGAAAAGAAAAAAAAAAAAAGCTGGGGTAGCAAAACTCATATCTGATAAAATAGACTTCAAAGTGAAGGCCATCACAAGAGACAACAAAGGTTACTACATAATACTAAAGGGATCAATCCAACACAAGGATATAACCCTGGCAAACTTATATGCTATGCACCCAATATAGGAGCACCTAAATATATAAAAAATCTTCTAGAGGACTTTAAAGGAGAGATCGACACCA